CCCATGAAAATATTGTTACTACACAGTAACTGGAGCTGACATCAGGTCTGGACCCAGGACAGTATTGTAACTACACATTAACTGGAGCTGACCCCAGGTCTGGACCCATGACAGTATTTGTACTACACATTACCTGGAGCTGACATCAGGTCCGGACCCATGACAGTATTGTTACTACACAGTAACTGGAGCTGACCCCAGGTCTGGACCCATGACAGTATTTGTACTACACATTACCTGGAGCTGACATCAGGTCTGGAACCATTACAGTATTGTTATTACACATTAACTGGAGCTGACATCAGGTCTGACTACACATTAACTGGAGCTCAGGTCTGGACCCATGACAGTATTGGTACTACACATTAACTGGAGATGACATCAGGTCCGGATCCATGACAGTATTGTTACTACACATTAACTGGAGCTGACATCAGGACTGGATCCATGACAGTATTGTTACTACACATTAACTGGAGATGACATCAGGTCCGGACCCATGACAGTATTGTTACTACACATTAACTGGATCTCAGTTCTGGACCCATGACAGTATTGTTACTACACATTAACTGGAGCTGACCCCAGGTCTTGACCCATGACAGTATTGTTATGACACAGTAACTGGAGCTGACATCAGGTCTGGATCCATGGCAGTATTGTTACTACACATTAACTGGATCTCACGTCTGGCCCCATGACAGTATTGTTACTACACAGTTACCGGAGCTCAGGTCTGGACCCATGACAGTATTGTTACTTCACAGTAACTTGAGCTCAGGTCTGGACCCATGACAGTATTGTTCCTACACAGTAACTGGAGCTCAGGTCTGGACCCGTGACAGTATTGTTACTACACATTAACTGGAGATGACATCAGGTCTGGATCCATGACAGTATTGTTACTACACATTAACTGGATCTCACGTCTGGCCCCATGACAGTATTGTTACTACACAGTTACCGGAGCTCAGGTCTGGACCCATGACAGTATTGGTACTACACATTAACTGGAGATGACATCCGGTCCGGATCCATGACAGTATTGTTACTACACATTAACTGGATCTCACGTCTGGCCCCATGACAGTATTGTTACTACACAGTTACCGGAGCTCAGGTCTGGACCCATGACAGTATTGGTACTACACATTAACTGGAGATGACATCCGGTCCGGATCCATGACAGTATTGTTACTACACATTAACTGGATCTCACGTCTGGCCCCATGACAGTATTGTTACTACACAGTAACTGGACCTCAGGTCTGGACCCATGACAGTATTGTTATGACACAGTAACTGGAGCTGATATCAGGTCTGGACCCATGACAGTATGGTTACTACCCAATAACTGGAGCTGACCCAAGGGCTGGACCCATGACAGTATTGTTACTACACATTTACTGGAGCTGACATCAGGTCTGGACCCATGACAGGATTGGTACTACACAGTAACTGGAGCTGACATCAGGTCTGGATCCATGACAGTATTGTTACTACACATTAACTGGAGCTCAGGACTGGACCCATGACAGTATTGTTACTACACAGTGACTGGAGCTCAGGTCTGGACCCATGACAGTATTGTTACTACGCAGTAACTTGAGCTGACATCAGGTCTGGACCCATGACAGTATTGTACTACACATTAACTGGAGCTGACATCAGGTCTGGACCCATGACAGTATTGTTACTACACAGTAACTGGAGCTCAGGTCTGGACCCAGGACAGTATTGTTACTACACATTAACTGGAGCTGACCCCAGGTCTGGACCCATGACAGTATTGTTATGACACAGTAACTGGAGCTGACATCAGGTCTGGACCCATGACAGTATGGTTACTACACAATAACTGGAGCTGACCCAAGGTCTGGACCCATGACAGTATTGTTACTACGCAGTAACTGGAGCTGACATCAGGTCTGGACCCATGACAGTATTGTTATGACACAGTAACTGGAGCTGATATCAGGTCTGGACCCATGACAGTATGGTTACTACAAACTAACTGGAGCTGACCCAAGGTCTGGACCCATGCCAGTATTGTTACTACACAGTAACTGGAGCTCAGGTCTGGACCCATGCCAGTATTGGTACTACACATTAACTGGAGCTCAGGTCTGGACCCATGACAGTATTGTTACTACACAATAACTGGAGCTGACCCCAGGTCTGGACCCATGACAGTATTGTTACTACACGATAACTGGAGCTGACCCAAGGTCTGGACCCATGACAGTATTGTTACTACACAGTAACTGGAGCTGACCCCAGGTCTGGACCCATGACAGTATTGTTATGACACAGTAACTGGAGCCGACATCAGGTCTGGACCCATGACAGTATTGTTACTACACAATAACTGGAGCTGACCCAAGGTCTGGACCCATGACAGTATTGTTACTACACAGTAACTGGAGCTCAGGTCTGGACCCATGACAGTATTAGTGCTACACATTAACTGGAGCTCAGGTCTGGACCCATGACAGTATTGGTACTACACATTAACTGGAGCTCAGGTCTGGACCCATGACAGTATTGGTGCTACACATTAACTGGAGCTCAGGTCTGGACCCATGACAGTATTAGTGCTACACATTAACTGGAGCTCAGGTCTGGACCCATGACAGTATTAGTGCTACACATTAACTGGAGCTCAGGTCTGGACCCATGACAGTATTAGTGCTACACATTAACTGGAGCTCAGGTCTGGACCCATGACAGTATTAGTGCTACACATTAACTGGAGCTCAGGTCTGGACCCATGACAGTATTAGTGCTACACATTAACTGGAGCTCAGGTCTGGACCCATGACAGTATTGTTCCTACACAGTAACTGGAGCTGACACCAGGTCTGGACCCATGACAGTATTGTTACTACCCAATAACTGGAGCTGACCCAAGGTCTGGACCCATGACAGTATGTTACTACACAGTAACTGGAGCTGACATCAGGACTGGACCCATGACAGTATTGTTACTACACATTAACTGGAGCTGACATCAGGTCTGGACCCATGACAGTATTGGTACTACACAGGAACCGGACCTCAGGTCTGGACCCATGACAGTATTGTTTCTACACAGTAACTGGAGCTGACCCCCAGGTCTGGCCCCATGCCAGTATTGTTATTAAACAGTAACTGGGGCTCAGGTCTGGACCAATGACAGTATTGTTACTACACAGTAACTGGATCTCAGGTCTGGACCCATGACAGTATTGTTACTTCACAGTAACTGGAGCTCAGGTCTGGACCCATGACAGTACTCTTGCTTCATAGATCTAAACAAGTCAATTTACTGAAGCACAAGTTTTCTGTTTCCAAGGCAGTATCACCTTTTATCACTGGTGTTTTTGTGAGTCATGTTAAACTGTCAGATAACATTGGAAATGTAAACTAGTTAGTTATACCTTTACCTGCACGAGTTACCTGATTTTAGCTATAAACGTAATGATCTCTGTGTATAAAATGACGTCATCTTTTCAACAACTGAGCAGACACACTTGGTACTTATATATCAACACTACATTTTAAAGCTTCATATCATAAGGGAAACCGGTTTGGGTAAAAAAAAGCAGCAGCAATTTGCTAGCCTAGCTGGACATCACATATGTTTAATTCATAAAGGACAGAGGTTTGGAAGTCAGGGGAATCAAACAGATGATACACCAGACGGAATTCCCAGCAGGCGTAGTCAATGGCAGTGTATTGATTTGAGTGGGATATGAGTTACACTAATGGTTAGGGACCATGACAAACGTGTGACATACCTAATGATCCAATCTATAGTGTGTATATTTATGTGTAGCGTATTACAGCTATAAATGTCGGACTGGATCAGTCCACACCTCAATGACAGTCGGCCTTATCTATCACTTACTATCACTGCTACTGACAACCATGTCTCTCACTAATCAATTGGCCCTATCAATGAAACTCCTCTACAGATTTGTATACAAATCACTGTTAATATCAATTAGCAGTATCAAAAAAGTTTTGTGTACAAATCAAACTGTTATTATCATTTGTAGCTATGCCAATAAAACTACTATACAGATTTGTATATATTCAATTATTATGATTTGTTTGGTCCCTAAAACTATATATCACATTAAAGAGATGAGTAATTCAGAAGTACAGATTAAATTCTGAAAAAGGATTTCCTGGAAATATGCTAGAAACAACCTGTTATTCTTTGAACACATGTACCAACAGGATGTAAATGAAAGAATTTATCTAAAACAGTAATCCATCTGGCATTATTTACCTGTACCTATATATACCACCCCGGTACAAAACTAAGTTTTACAGAAGTGTACCTGCGTTTATAGATAGGCCGGGTTGGTAAGAATGAACTGTCCCATACATAATATACCTGGTGAAATAAATACCCAGCTGTTCCTCTGATAAACGCCACAACATAAACGGGTAAAGATAAACTCTCAAACACTGTCAACTCCATCAGACATCCTGTTTTCACGTAATCCATCAAATTTTCTGTTGGTAGGTAAAAGTGAAAGGTTTTTAGCAAAACTGTTGGGTTTTTTTTCTTGATAAAAATTTCAGTTGAAAAAGAAAACTATTAACAGATGATCATTGTCCGAGTCTGAACATCATATTGCATTAGCATATATTTCTTAAATCTTTTAAATTGGATTTAAGTTTCCGAGATTATTGTCTAATTAAGTTTCACTAATGTCGCATGATTCCATGAAAGATTTTATCTGTTGGATGTTTGATACATGTAAAGGCTATTATTTATATCTAAAAAACAGTGAAAAGAACAATATAGATTTCATGGTATAACCCAGATTTATACGAAGTAGAAATGAAAGCTGTCATGTTTTTTACCTGTTCCTTAGTGGATTTTTCAATGGCAAGTTTAACCTTCCCATAGGAACCTTCTCCAAGAGTTTTGATCAACTCGAACCGGTGTTTTAGGTTGTGTTTGTGTGCAATGTGCACGGGTAGGGCTGGTCCGAGCCCCATCCCTCCCTCCATTAGACCTGACAGGAACTCCTCGTCCATCATCCGTGCAGGCATGGTCAGCCTCTCATCTACCCCGGCAACAACAGGTTACACCAGCTCACACAACACATCACAGTCTTCACAGCAAGGCATAGACTCGCTGTCACTCTTCTTGGAACACAAATCCGTTATAGTGGTTATATAATGAAAGTAGACAAAATCAAAGTTAAAATCCAACAGAAATCCTATGATAATGAACCACTTCAGTAATATGCAGTGTATGGTAATACAGGCAGTGTGTATTAAAATATATATCCAAGGTAATAAGCAGTGTTGATGTTCCACACCGGTTTAAAATACACCGCTGAATACGACAGCATGGAACAACCTCGCGTTAGCACTAAGTATTCAATAATACACCTCTTTAGGTTTGTTTGTGCATTACGTACTTGGTTATGAGATAAAGAAACTACACTCACCACTAACGCTCGTGGTGGGCGGAGCTTGTCGCGTTCAAGCCATTCAACTGTCAGCTGTCTGTCTCGACATTACCATGTCACGCTCGATCAGCTGTTGGTAGTTACTGTTTGACCTCTCTGAACCCTACAGTGTATATTCTTGCGCGTTTATTTTGTTATTGTAAAATTTCTTCAGTCCAAAGAACAATACAGACTCTGACGAGAAATAGTATGGCACTAAAGGAATTATTTGCATTGTAAACATAGGATGAAAATAGAAGGTTTATTTTTTTACTTATCATCTTAACAGGAAGTGAGCAAACATGTCTACATCCGGTATAAAACAAGGAAGTGAAGTCCTTTGAGACCCAAAGTTGACAAAGACTAGAAAGGGACAAAATGTCACAAGGAAATCAACGAAAAAATCGCCCACGATCATCAAATAGCGCTTCTTTACTGCTAGACAATTCAGAAAATGAACAATTATACGGAATGTTGGGCAGAGGATGCGTGGTAAGGGTTTGCATGTATACATATATAAGATTGGAACTCCCTTCATGCCTTCTCAAATTATTTCTTCTGATTCAATACTGTCCTTCAAATCATCTATCTCTGCTCATCAATATTAAGTTCTGTTCCTTTCCTTTCATAGCGCTACACCTATGTATGGCATGATCTTCACTATGCTGAAGTAGGTCATCAAATGGTAGAAAAAGTAGAATATTGTAGCAATGATTATATATATAACAGTCACTGACAAAGACAGCTTAATATGAAAAGACAAAGCCTTAAAAGAACGTAGCTTTTGTTGATCTCTGATATTTACTGATTAAGAATAAAACTTTCAGAATGAGATCAGATAAACTTTATTTAAAGTCGGCTAGTCGAGGAATAACAATAAAACACAATTAAGCTCTAATTGAGATTATAAGACTGACATAACAATAGGGAGACCGGGGCAAGTTCGGCCACAGTACTGAATTTTTACATGCATAAATAATGTAAAGACTATATCCAGACTTTCAATAATGTTGTGCCTGTGGAAAATAACTGAAATAAAAAAAAGTCTTGAAGCACCGACAAAGAGATAATTAAATACAACGGACACATCAGTTCCAGAATATTTTCATCCTTCCGGAAATAACCTATGAAGGCCGATGGATTGTGTCGTGCTTGTGACGTCATAGTATGCCTGTCAGTATCACATTTTATGTGATAAACTTTTTTCACTCAGAATGTAAATTATTTTTTTATCTAAATAAACAAGTAATAAAACATGAAGATTGTTTTCACTATATGAAGATATTCATGTTTGGGTTGAAACACAATTGTCTTTGCTTCAAGAATACACTTCCTGTTTCCCCACTGGACGTCTACTTCCGGAAGAAAGAATAAAGGCAACGTGTAGAAAGGGGAAGAAACTCTGTATACTCATGCTTGTGTTACCATTAAAGAGCTTCACTCATGCGCCTTTGGAGCCTGAGAGCTACCCTCTTATTAAAAATTGTAGTTTACCCTGTAGTTAAGCTACGTAAGATGAATCCCTAACCCTATGTAGTTTTGACCATCAGCATGAACTTTAAAAAGGTGAGATTGAGAGTGTGGAATCGACAAGACCACTTTACAAAATTGAAATCATGGAGTGCTGGAATTGGGGTGGAATTATAATTATTTGATTTAGTGTTATAGACCCAGTGGCATCACCAATTAGAACAATACTGGCCAGTGGTAGAAGGGTTATAAATTGTACATACGGGTGCTGCGCTTGCTGCTCAGTTTGGGAACAGGACATTTGAATAAAAAGTGTAGAAAAGGAAAAAAATATTGTGTAACAGGAAAGAGAGTAGTGTGATTCCACAGGGGATAGAACCAGTGACGCCAGTTTTCAGTCCAATGCTCTACCTATTGAGCTAAAGGTTCCTGCAAGCCCGAAGTCTGACCGTTATCCCATGTACAATTGAAATCTGCCAATTTAATAACCCCCCCCCCCCTTTTTTTTTGAAGTGTTCACCCCCACTAATTAATAGTATGCTTCCACCAGAGATCTAACCTGCAACCCTCAGCTTCCCAGTACACCGCTACCAATTGAGCAAAAAGGAAATTCCCTTTTACACTGCAGTGCAAAGCTAGAAGGGGACCATAATCCTATGTACAATTAAATCTACCAAAATTGCAAAGGTGAATTAGAAATATTCTGATCACTTAAATGTCCCTGCAGCGGAAAATACTGATGAAAGATTCTGATTCTAAAAGAGGTCACACATTAGCTCTATGGGTCATTTCACAAACATTTATGATCATGCATGCAGTGCAGAAAGCAAAAACATAGTTTCCAATATTTACACCTGCTAACAACAGAATCTTCATGATTTTGTCAGGATGAAATGACAAACTGGAAGGGGACAATATGCTAATGTTATATTTCCATCAAAAAAGTTTTACATTCTAAATAAATTTACAACTGCTAACTCAAATTGTTGTTATGAATGTTCATTTCAATCTTTACAGCTATCAGATGATTTGTTGTAAACAATCATGGACACTGTTAGGCATAAAAATACATTTTCACTCTAATTTTCCAAATTTGAACTGCTGTGAGACGACAGTCAGTTACATTTGACTAATAGCAATATGTACATTATATGCGGTAGCTTTTGACACGATATATTTTCCAATTTTATGTTTATTTTAGTCCCTGGCAACAGGTGTGGTACAGCTGTATACAGCTGATCCTCCATCACGGAACCGCTGGACCAAACGTTTCTGTGGTGTTGCCTGTTTCATCAAAGACAACCCGAATCGCTCTTACTTCATCCGAGTGTTTGACGTCAAGGTAAATTTAAATCAGTTTCTATATTTGATCAGTGTATTTAATGTCAATGTAAGCCACCGTACCATTTGATCAGGATGTTGCATGTAAGAATCTTTTTCAACAGGGTGTTTATCACAGGTAGTACAGTAGAACCTTTGATACCACACTGTTTTAACAGGTAAAAATAAAAATGTGGAACTGCAAAATTTCAAATTATTAATGTATAACAATGTTTTCAAGAAATAACCAGTATTTATATGACTAAAAAAATGTAAAATTTAAGAAAAAGTCTTACTGTTTTGAACCTTTTTATTTTTATGTACATTAATGTATAGACTAGCTTTATTTGATTATGCTGGTTCAGTTTACTTACAATATTTGTTAATGATTTTTCAAGTTTGATGTAAATGTGAATTGTTATACTAAAATGAAAACAAACTATTTGATATGGTCACCTTTTCTTGCACTTAAATCAGAACAAATGTGCTTATTATCAGCAAGGTTATGCTCTACTGATAATGATGAAAATTATAAGTTTAAAGCTTTCTTGTGTGAAAGTACAGATCTTGTTTTAAATCAAGTGAAGATTCAATTTTTATGCTAACTAGGTCACGTGTAATAATAATAGATTCAAATAATTTAATCTTACATGTAACAAGCATTTTCATTGGCTTAAACGTTTATGTTATCAGCCCATTACGTTAAAAAAATGACGTCGCCGCTGTATTTAGAGTACACTCCGTTTTTTTGTGTTATTTAAGGATTCACTTGAATATATTTGTTATGTTATGGAGCTATAACACAAAAAAACGGAATGTACTCTAAATAAACCGTGAAGCAGTTTATGATGAGAGTCCATCCGCTTTTTGAGTTATAACTCCATAACACAAAAAATATATTCAAGTCAATCCTTATAATTTAATCTACAATACACAATCCCTGTGGAAATCCGATTTTATTGATGGACTCTTGGAAATTATTACGCCGCTGTATCAGCCAATCAAAAGCGACGTTACAAAAGGCGACGTCATTTTTTTATGTTATGGGCTGATAACATAAAATGTTAAGTCAATGAAAATGCTTGTTACAAGCAAGATTAAATTATTTGAATCTATTACTTCCAAGAGGGCTCTAGATCTGTATACCTTTATGCGATTAAAAGTTGAAGTTCAACATAAAGATGTTGACTGTCAGAAAAGAATGACCGACTCAGATAAACTCCTATTTGACTAAACACTATACCAAAATTCATACAAACATAGGAACTCGCTTGACTCGAATATTCGGATAACTCCCACAATCCCACCAACTTCAAGGATAACGAGGTTCGACTGTTCATATGAACTTGCATGTTGCTCCTGGGAATTCATACCCTTACCTGTTTATTGTGATAATAGAAAACAGTAGCCAGATTAGTATGAGTGCAAGTCAAACCACACATACATAAATGTACATGTAAACAGTCTGGTGTGATTGCATGATTCTTATGACTCATAACAGGACCATACATTATATTGTGTCAGATGGTCACAGGTAAGGTGGAAAAACCAATAAAACTAAATATAATGTTTGTATAAAAATGGGACCGTACTGTATCAGAACTGTATCACCTAATTAACTGTAAATAATGGGACCGTACTTTATCAGAACTGTATCTCCTTAACTGTTAATAATGAGACCATACTGTATCAGAACTGTATCTCCTTAACTGTAAATAATGGGACCGTACTTTATCAGAACTGTATATCCTGTACTGTAAATAATGAGACCATACTGTATCAGAACTGTATCTCCTTTACTGTAAATAATGGGACCGTACTGTATCAAAACTGTCTCTCCTTTACTGTAAATAATGAGACCATACTGTATCAGAACTGTATCTCCTGTCCCCTGTCCAGGACAGAGTCCCTCAGCTCTTCTCTAGTCTTAACTACTGACTAGCCTCCTGTCCAGGACAGAGTTCCTCAACTCTTCTCTAGTAATTAACTACAGACTATAGCCCCCTGTCCAGGACAGAGTTCCTCAACTCTTCTCTAGTCTTAACTACTGAGTAGCCCCCTGTCCAGGATAGAGTCCCTCAACTCTCGTCAAGTCTTAACTACTGACTAGCCTCCTGTCCAGGACAGAGTCCCTCAACTCTTCTCTAGTAATTAACTACAGACTATAGCCCCCTGTCCAGGATAGAGTACCTCAACTCTCGTCTAGTCTTACCTACAGACTAGCTTTATCTTCAAAGACCTTGTACTTCTGCATTCCTTATGTTCAAAATACTTTGTTGTTCATAATACAACATTCGTACATGCACTTTTTTCCTTGGCCTTTCTGATGTTTACGTATGTCCTCACCATAACATAATACTACATATGTTTACACTTTTTTCCTTGGCCTTTCTGATGTTTACGTATGTCCTCACCATAACATAATACCACATATGTTTACACTTTTCCCTTGGCCTTTCTGATGTTCTACGTATGTCCTCACCATAACATAATACCACATATGTTTACCCTTTTTCCCTTGGCCTTTCTTATGTTCTGTTCTTTGTTTCTACATAATACAGCCTACTGTACACATTTTTAGCCCACCATCATCTGATGGTGGGCTATTCAAATCACCCTGGGGCCGTCCGTGGTCTGTCCTTAAACAATTCCTGTTATCGCTATTTCTCAAGAAGTACCAGAGGGATCTTTCTCAAATTTTAAATGTAGGTTCCCCTTGGACTCTAGTTGTGCAGGACAACTTTTGAGACTGATCGGATAAACAACATGGCCGACAGGCAGGTATCTTGGATTTTGACAGTTAAGGTTTGTTATGGCTATTTCTCAGGAAGTACCAAAGGCAGACCTGCTAACCTTTGAATCTCCCAATGGGGGTCATGACCCCCATTGGGAAATTCTGTGGGGGGTGATAACGCGCGAACGAAAATTTGTGTAGAAATTTAATAATATCGCGGGGTCTCGGCTTTAGGGCGTATTATGTTTTGTCTTCTGGCAAGTTCAATGACTTTTTTGAAATTAACGAAACATTTTATCACACTTTCATTGTTTTATTACATATTCTTAATCAATATACATGTTTTTCTTTTCCTAGGTGCATAGTGAAAGCATGAACCATGTTGATTTAGTTTTGCACATAACAAAGCACATATTGTATCATTTCCTAATTCAGATCTCCCTTCTGTCTGGATCTTCTTCAACATGGAAAATGTTCTCTCAGAGTCAGCATTACTCACTGAAAGTACCAAACATACCTTCATTAGCCTACACAACATACCAAACCTAAGATCATTCTCAAAGGGTTCTTTAACTGCATGCCATTTGATATCGTATGTAGCACCCGAAGCTACCGAAAAATGATTGGTACACAGTTTGCAATAGGCATGATCGGGTCCAATATTACTCTTCTGAAGCCAGTCATAATCATATTCCCACGAAGCATTGTAATTACAGGCATACATTTTCTTTTTTGACGATGAACACTAAAATAACGAACATTTTCTCGGGTTAGAAGCAGGATTATATGCATTGTAGTAACAGTGAACAGTACTCACCTTTTGAATTTGCCAGGCTGGTTCAGAAACAGGGACGCCATTGTGAAAACAAATCACTTAGTATACGGACTTTACCTATAACTGAAAGCTAAACTTCCGAGAGACACGAACGGAACATTTCCGGAAGTACGGAGATCCTAATGAAAGATGCAGGTGATTGCGGGTCATATTTACGGAATGCGGGAGATACGTATGACCCGCGCGGGTCATAAGATCGTCGCGGGTGATAGGTTCATTTTGCGGGTGTGATCCGCAGAATGCGGGTCATTTAGCAGGTATGCAAAGGGATCTTTCTGAAATTTTATATGTACGGTAAACCTTCGGTCAGTTCGAACAAAATTAAATAAATATTGAAGAACCTGTTCGGATTATACAAAATTATGCTTCAGAAAATAAGCGTGAGTTCGAACTATCGGCAAAAAATTTGGCAAAGTGCAAATGAAGTCACAAACATATACCCGACATATTTTCTTCACCGGAGTAATATGCCTCTATATATCCAATGTAAGGTCGATACGTAACAACGACGGCCTGGCATAGAACAATGGCACATTTATAAATGGGTAAAATGATAGTATATTATTTATTTCAATGTTAATTGATCATTAAACTTTCTTCATTTCGTGATATTTATTGCGAAGCAGAGGCCCTTGTGTAGGCCCCGAAACAGTACACGTTTCATTTGTGACACAAAAGTTAAGACTACCTAGCTTGTATCAGAGACCTAAATATTGAGTCTCTGCGTGGTTAGGTTTTATTTGAATCAGAAACTATTGTATATGTTATTTCGTAATGAATGGTCCGTTTAATAAATTGAATAAGTCTACTTAACCTGTTGCGTTTACAAGGCGCTACTGTACAGTAAATATAGGTCTATATGTTAGTAAAATTATGTCAGAACATCAACATGTCTGCTTTAAATTATAAGTGATATAGTCCTAATACCTACCAAACTTATTTGACACCTTCAAAATTACCCATCGCTAATTGGGACACCTGTGGATTGTTTGGGCTTTGACATGAATGCTAATCTCGTCACTCACCATGGCTGGGCGGCCGATTCCTACCGCGACATCGTGTCCTGCCCTATGGTACCCAGATACCTGGTGTGAGGGCACACGTTTACAGGTAATACCTTGATTGGCAATAATTAAGGGATGTCTGGTCGCAATAAAATAATCAAAATGCTTAGTTAACACTGTATTTGACAACACACGGACGATTTCTTAGCGTACAGCCATACAGCGTGACATCAGTTCGTACTGATCGCATGTTATTTATACATTGTCGGGGCCTAAGTTGAAATTGGCTGTTGTCGTGCACGATGTATTTTTCAAACAATGTTAAAAAAAATGAATCAACGCTAAAATCTGTGACATATATTTATGGTTTGTCTGTCACAGCTGTACTGCAATGCTCACACATACAACCCATTACCCTTATAGACATGTCTGTTGATCAAAGCATTTTT